CTTCAACTCCCAGGATTCCCCCGTCAGCCCCGCTGACTGGGGAATCCTGGGAGTTGAAGTCCAGACAGCTTAAAGTTGCTAAGGTTGAGAAACACTGGGTTAGCCCCTCCATTGCATCTGAGGAAGGGAACTGCAGCTCATGAAAGCTTCTGCCTTGGCCTAAAATTTGCTAGTGGAAGGAGGTGCCCCCAGACTCCTGTTTTTAAAGGGCCTGCAATGCATCTCTGCACCAGGACAGGAACAATCTGTGAAAAGGCAGGCTGGGGGCTTTTTTAGTAGCAGCACCCAAAAAGGAGAAATTTCTTCCAAGTCCCTTCCTTTTGCCCTTATGCAGATAATTATACCGTTTCCCTAGCTGGGTTCTTAAAGCGCATTAATTATATCGTATTTAGTTTATGATTTAAGTTGGAGCCAAATGCTCTTCTGAAGGTGTGCGGATGTTATTATGGGTTTGGGGGTTGGTCAAGATGACCTTCCAGATCCCTCCCAGGGGTGTCATTTTTAACTCAAAGATTTCTCTCCTTCCAGCAGATACAGCCCATCCTGCTAGGTTTGGGACGGAGATGAGAACAGATTTTGCTGGTTTAAAACGAGGGACTACAAAGCTCTTCAGAAAGGTTGGCTAACAACCTCTTTGAGTCAGCGAGGATGTTTTTCTCCCTCTTGAAAGCCTTATCAGGATGATGATGAATGGTGGGTTTTTTTCCCCCAAAGAGCTTAGAGAAATCTTTCCATGTGTTCTTCCTTTGCAACATAGGAACAATGTCAGCATGAGATTTCAGACAACAAACCGGACTTTTATTATAACCCGTCTATTTTTCTATTTGCTTTGGAGATGGATGCAATTTGGATCCAATGTAAGCCCAATTGGGGAGGGGGGAGGGCGGGGAAATCACAAAAGCTTCCTCTAACACGTGGCCACTGGATGCTTGGCCATGTTGGTTGGGGAATATGGGAGCAGAGGGCACCCTATCTGGAAGGCTGATCAAGGGCTCCCTAGAGGCTGATCCAAGAGCTGATTAACAGGACAACTAAGCTGCCAGGTGAGTCCAACCTACCTGCCATATCCCAGGCCCCGGAGAGTTATCGGACTGGACTGATGCTCTGCTCACCTTTGCAAGCCTCTCCCGCCCACCCTTCTGCTTCTCACTTTCAGACTTGCAATTCATGTCAGCCAGACGGGGTAGACCAGATCGGAAACACAACCAGATGAGCTAAACCTACCTTAACAGAATCTTGCAAGCCTGAAAATACAATACTCTCCCTGTCTCTTCGCACCCCGAGAAATTAGGGAAGGTCCCTTCTGAGCCTCCTGCCCCGCCCACTATCCTGCTGCAGGCTCAGCTGCCTTTTATCTGACCGTTCCCTTGGTTAGGTCTCTTTGCCCTGTCTCCCAGGGTCATCCCCACGTACCATTACAGTTCTTTACTGATCTGGTTTAAGAAGGTTGGTTTGCTTGTTTATGCATGCATGCATGCATGCAATTTATGGCCGCCCAACGTACTCACGGTGACTCCGGGCAGCTAACAGAAATAAAAACCTCAAATACAAAACCCACTACGCCCTCCTGCCCCCTGGTGACAACACCGCATTTACACTAGCCATTTGATGGGCTCCGTATCAACCCGCAATCTTTCCAGACCCAGGAGATAGTAGATACGGATGGCAATTCCAGACAGCCAGGTTAAGTGGTGTCCTCTGGGGCTTAACGCGGCAGGGCGCTGGCATTACCTGCGCCGTCTCTATTGCTAATCCCTGCTTTGCAATCACCACAAGGCTGTAAAAAATGCCCCTATTATAGGCCAGGCTAAAGAAGGAGATTGGTGGATCCCCCAGCTTCACGTCCCCTCTCCAGCAGGAAACCAATCACCGTCCCTAACAGGTAGGAACGGGTGAGGGTTGCATCTGTCTGAATGGTGGGTTTACACACACGTTATGCTGCCCAGTTAACAGACTGCAAGCAACGAAGGGTGGGGTGGAGCTGGGAGGGAGAGTACAGTACCTGATGCTCCTTCTTGGCACAACCCCTCTTCCCTTCCTGTGACCACCAGGCTATTTCTGAATACGGGTCTAGCACTCTTCTGAAAGTGCACTAAACCCACGTTCAAAAGCAGCCTTTCTGAGATGAAAAAGGCATGAAAGGGAGCACAGGGTGAAGTGGACGAGTGTGACTGACGACAACTCAGCTCTGTTCTTGACTAGTACTGCACGGGAATGCCGGCAAGAGAGGGACCACGAAGTCCAGTTCTGACCCTGTGGCCGACGGCACCCCCCGTGGCTGATGGATGGCCACGAGAACAAGCAACTGTAGTTGGGGCATGTGGAACAACAGTAGTCAACTCCGTGGCACCTAGTGCTACCGAAGCCAGAATGGAGTAGGCAGAACGGTGCTGTCCCCACCACCCCTGACAAAAATATGAGAAATGGTGTTACATTACACAAACAGCCAGGGGGTCCGCAACTGCGCAATGTTGGTCCTGGGAGTGTCGACTGGTTGGGGCGACAATGGTAGTGCTTGTGTGTGAAACGAGAAAAGTGGCACGTTTGATTTTCCCACGAGATGCAGAACCTTACATTTCTCACAGCTGAACACGTAACTGAATGCGCTGGGGTCATAAAACTTTCCAGGGAAAAGGGACTTTTGCCGTCAGGCTGAGCAGAATTTTTGCAGATTTGTCTACAGTGGCAGAAATAAAGGGATTGGCTGTTGAAACTTGCCTCTAAGTGCTTGAATTCCTGGGCCCTTTAAAGCTGGGCTGATGGTAGCCACGGAAGATACGCCGCTTTTCACAAATGCTTTGTCTCTAGCCACCATATCCACAAGTCAAGAGGAATATTAGTTTTTAGCGCATAGCCACCCTAAGGAAGAGATGCTGAGAGGAACCTCTCAAAAACACTCAAACCGAGACAAGCAGAAAAGCTGGCTCCAAAATTGCTGAACAAAGAGAATGGGAAAGAGACTGATTACTAATTTAAGCAGAAACAATGCATTACGTCTGTCAACTGGGCTAGCCTAGGAAGAAAGCAGAATAAAATGTTATATCGAGTTCTATATTTAAAGTGGAAAGGGCGGAAAAGAAAATTACTCTAAGAATTACTAACAATTAATCTTTCAAAAGCCCTTCCACTGTTTCAGGCTGAAAGCAGAACCCTCAGATGTCTTTGGCTTCCTTGAACGATATATATATATATACCCCAGATTATGTCAAGAAGGAATAAGGAAAGAACAGCCCGGCGGGCTACGCAATACCCTGGAGACCAGCGTGTACAGAGCCGGCAAACTCACTGGCTCCTTGCATTTTCAAGCCACGGCACCCACAGACGTGGCAGAGACCAGGATGCTGGCTTGCACCTTTTCCTGCTCTGCTGTTCTGACCTCATCTATTCTTGAAAGGTGTTTCGCCAATTCGATTAATGATCTGCTGCTAACCATGGACCATCCCCAAAGAAGCGGAGCCGTTCTTCCAGGCAGAACCAGGCAAGTCCCCTTCCAGCCATGCCCAGAATTTCCTGCAAAGAGGAAGCCCTCAGAGGCCAACTTGTCTGGCAGAAAGAACAGAGCTACGATCGCTGGCCTGTCACCCTCAGCCACACAGCAGATGGCTGGGGAGGATGGGAGCTGTAACCCAGCATTTGGGGAGTGTGCCCGACAGAGAAGGCGACTTTAAGGAACGAAGCCACCGGCAAGATTTGCTTCGGGGCTCAGCAGCCACCGGAGCAAAAGGGCTCTCGGTCCAAGGGATGAAGCTGACCCCTCTCGAACAGCTTTCCAAGGGAATCCAGATGGGGGGGCTTTTTAATTTCCTGCCATGCCCAGCGCTTGGTCAGGAACTTCAAAGGCAGGGGAGGCCAGAGATGTCCCAAAGCCTGCAGAGTCTGCATCGGAACTCAAGTCTCGCCTGGGTTCTTACCTTTGGTTGCAATGCGGGCGGCTGAGGGGCTGGCGCTGGGTCGAAGCCGTGGGTCTTCCTGGCTCCAGAGGACGGGTACTGCCCAACAGTTGGAGGGTACGCTGGCTCAGGCTTCCAGGCGCTTGGGGGCCCGTAGGAAGGGTCAGCTGCCTCCCAGCCCCTGAGGGTTGCACTCCCGGGATGGGCTGGCTCTTGCTGGCGACCTGGCAGTGGCGCGGAACCATAGCTTGGTGCTGGCACATAACCGTAATCGGGTGCCCGGGGCTGAGCCGGGGCATAGGATCCCGGCCCCACCGAAGAAGCAGGCTGGGGGGCCCCGCTGCTATACTGGGGAGCCGATGGCGGGAAGTGGGGGGCAGGATGAGCTGATTTCACTTGCACGTTGAAGGCGGGCCGGGTGGGGGTGGAGGCCGTGGTGTAAGATGCCGGAACCGGCTGAGGTCTCAGGGGGCCAACGGGCGTCACCGGGATCGGCTGGGCGCTGGGCTTGGAGGCTGACTTTTT